GACTTGACTTAATAAAGAAGATATATCATATATTTCAAATATTTCCCACAACGTTTTGATCTCACTTTGTATCGCATACTAATTTTGTACAGGAAGTCTGACATCTACTCATTTTAGCAAACCATAATCTTCGATATTTCGTTTAAATTCTAAAAGATATTGCAACTTTGAGGACTAATTTGTTGTCTATAATAGATCTTCTTGCGGTATGCATTCTAAACGTATGTTATTTTATTTTTTATGCGGTCTTATATCCAATTCTGAACTCGTGGTAACTAAAGAAGAAACACAATAAACTGGCCAATAAAGGTATTAAGTACAGTTTTATGACTATCAGAACACTAAAAACTTCTCAAGTACACTCATTCGTTGGAAAGAAACGCATTCATCCAACATGAATAAATAATCTTCAAGCTGGAGGAATGATATTTTTTGCTTTGATTTTTCTGGGAAGGCAAGACAAAAAATTTATTACTTCATGGTTAGCAATGAAAAGGATGAATATTTGTGCATATGCACATTTCCATAAGTTTGCTTATTTTCTTCAATATTTGGATGTGTTTGTCAGTCTGTGTTGGCTTAGTTGTAAAAGTGTTGAAGCGATGTAAAGTTTCCGCATCCATAATAAAAGTTGAGCATATTGACAGGATCTTCTAGGAAGTTGGCCAAAAAGTTTCTCAAGTCGTATGAGCAAAACGAAACCAAAAAAGTGATAAAAATATAAACCAAATGCAGGAAGCGGAACTTGAACTTCGCTTCAAAGTGCTAATATACGAAAATTAAAAGAACCGAAAGATGAAAGAGCCAAAAGAGCAATTTTCAAGAAATCAAATATTTAACTTGAGTGTTTGTTGAGTACAAAAAGAAAATTAAAATAAAAAATTCTGAAAATATTTGGCATCATGCTTACTTCTACAACTTCTCCTAAGTGGAAGCTCAAGTGGAAATATTAGTCAGTAGAAGTGAAAAAGGATAAGAAGCTGCAAATTAATAATAAATGTAGATAAAATTTTGCTTTTTAAATGCATATGCGGAAAAGTCCTTCAAATTATAGTCAGTAAATTAGTTTCAAAATTCCGTAACAATACCAAGATAATAGATACTATCTAAATTAAATGAGATTTTTAATTTGAGTTATAAGATTCAAATAAAGACTAAATCATATTTTGAGTTTATAAATAATTAGAGTTGAAATACAATTCATATGAAACCTTGTAGCCTCCACACTGGCTAAATTCTAAGGAAGCGTAAAAATGCATATGCTACGTTGAAATCCTTTGCCTAAAATCTCCAGCGAACTGCACTTTTACGTGATTTTGCCATTTGCCATTTGCCATCTGCCATCAGTTCGTGATGACTGTGGTTTACGTGCGTTACTCAACGCAATCAACATCCTTTCAACCGATTTACTCATTAGGCAGCAACCAAGAAGTACGCGATTCCATCAAACTATCCATGGAATCATTAAACATGTGTGCCCTTATACGCGTTCGCGTTGCCGCACTTGTGGCCATGTAAACAATGTAACCACTTTCCACAATTGCTTTTTAAATGCGTTATGTGCGCGAACTGCAGCCGAAGAAAAAACTGTTAATTGTTGCAAAGTTCGTTCGCCGTTTGCCGTTTGCAGTTGCCTCATCTGCACAGCTAGCGTGAACGAATCATGTTAACGGAGACCTTAAAAGTATGCAACACTTTAAAGTGGAATTACAAGCAAGCATATGGTGATGCATTTCCTGCCATCTTTTATACTGGTATTCATTCCTTTTCTATACCCTACATACACATGGCACGAAGAGAATATATTGAAAAGATTGTTGCACAATCACATCACATAAAGTATAAAAATACTTTATTAGCTTAATAAGACGAATCGTTGTTGTGATATCAATTTGTAATAATAAAAAATAATATACGGGTATATTATATTAGGCCTGTTCCATGAGCTACTAGTAGTAAAACTCAAGTAAAGCACAAGTAAAGTACAAACTGAGAGCGTAACACAAATAAAGTGCCTAATTACGCTCTTTACACAGATATTCATGGAACAGCTCTGTGTAAAATCTGTTGAGAACACCAGTGCGCGTAAATAAACAATACAAAAATTCAAATTCAAACCAAAACAGCTGATTCACACATCACGCAAATTTCACATGAAATAAAAGGTACGAGTAAAGTCTGTGTAGCGTTTTGAAATTTCGACAGGGATGTTACGCTCTCACAGATGTTCACATTAACTCGTAAATTTGCTTGTAGAACGCACTTGTGTATATCCAGTGTTACTTAAAGTTACTACTAGTAGCTCGAGAAACAGACCTGTTGTAAATATTGTCTGTTAAATGTTTCTTAATAAAAAAAATATGTAGAAATCATATCATGTCCAAAATGAAGTTGAATGTTGAGATTGCTTTATCTATTACTAAATAATTAGTAAAGAGAGTCACTTAACAAAATTTTTATTAATATCTTTCTATTAAAATATTATTTAAAAATATCTTAAAATTCTGTGTAGATAATTTTTCAAATCACACAAAACAATAAAAATATATTTATTTCGTTCTGCACACTCACACACACACTCAGACAGAAACGTGTATGAATATTTCTACATACATACTCTTTTGTATGTATGTTTTGTTTTTGTCACAATGTTTCATATGTGTCGCTATGACCGGTAACGGAAACGGATGTGTTGCATCGTCGGTCGTCGTTTCTAGTAATCACTTTCATCATTTTCATCGAGGAACGCATCATTGCCGAGCTAATCGTTATCAGTGCAGTTTGTCGTGTTCACTTCCTGTCATTATTGTTTCCTTTTGTTTTGTTTTATTAATGTTCTGTTTGTCTTTAACATCGTTCTGACTCTTCCTTTTTTTTTTTGGTTGCGTACTTTTAGTTTAGAGAAAAATAGCAAAAATAGCAAATAGAAAACATTCCCTTCATATATAACACATGCACATTTATATATATCATATACATTTGGGATTTATAGTGTTGTTATTATATTGTAGTAAGTATAACGAAATTATAATAGTAAAAATCTTCTTTGAAAGCGTCTATTCCACGGTATTTAGTGCTAATAACAGTATTATATTAATTCAACAACTTTTGCAGTGAGGCTTATGAGGAATGTGCAGTTTCTCAGCGTGGGTTCCTATACACCAATTACCAGAAAGAAATGCAATAAGCCGTGCAGTGTTCACGCGGTCTCTTTTGGTGAGTACCGAGGATCTATTTTTATTATAGGCGGGTCACGTTAACTTGGAAGTTGCACATGGCTTAAGTGCTTTTCATCTGTTAATGGCAAGGTTTCATTTATGAAAGATTCAAGGGCTTCGATTGCTTCTTGTAGTCATCAATATATTTAAGCAAGTGAAGTTAGGGTTGGAGCGTATTGTATTTTCGACGAAATTTCAACGAAGTAATTTGCATAAATAAATAATGAATTTATGTAAATTGAAGGAAAAATCGTTTACAATTAGTTTTTATTTGAACTCTATTTGTAATAAAATCTCAAAAAAAAAAAACGACTAATTTGTTGAATTGCCTTGATAGTGTTATTTTTTAAGGCTTTAGAAAAATATATTTGAATGATAAGAAAGCCAATCGAAAAAAGTATCAAATAAGGAAATAATTTAAAAAAATGTATTGCCAAATTTTAAAGAAACTTTTAAATTTTGGCAGCATATTTTAAAACAAATACGTTGATACCCAAAGAATATATAGAAATGTGAATAATCAATAATATAAATCCAAATTAGTGCCAAATAAAATTTTTACTAAATCTAATATTCTCAACTTATGATTTCCTTTAAATGCAACAGACAAAAAGTCTAATATATTGTACAAGTACTACATTACGGAAATCATTTGGGCTGATATGGCAAATGTTAAATGTCGATTGACACCCATTCGGGATTTGCTTCATTGCTTCAGTAAAGTGATTGATGAACGCATAAATTATTGACAGAAATGATAAGAGTAGTAAAAGGCAAATAAATGAAAATTAAATTTGGACTTAAAGATATTTTGAAACTAAAAAAATAATGAAAATAAAAATAAAAATAAAAATAATCTCACGTAAACCCTAAAAAAAATTCCAAAAAATATTAAAATCTGATTTTTTGGAATTAAGATTTTGTGTTTCATATTCACCGGATTTAGTGACGACGGGCAAGATGTGTTTGATTACTTTATTATAATAATTAAAAGGATTTAAGTCAGTTAATCGAAATTACATGTGTGGTGAACATAAATGAAAACATATAGAATTTATCTGGTTTATTGGTTTATTAAACTTGAGATTATATTACGAAAAAAATCATGTAATCATTAGAATAATGATCTTTTGTTAAATTATTTTGTAAATGCATTTCCGCAATTGAATTAATTACCTAATGTATTTAGTTGACTAGATAACCCTAGACTTATAAGTAATAAGTCTATTTATCTCAACTCTCCTAATTTACTAAATTTACCACAAAACTATTTAATCCTATTTAATTTTAATGGTATTTATTTGAATAATCACATAATTATTTTGCCATCTGAGAGTAATATTTGTCGTTGCTCATGTTTTTTTTATTTTTTGTAATAAATTAAATCTATTTTAAATCTGAATCTATTTCAAACTATAATTTAAAAAATAAGTTATAACGGCTGTTTAAGACAATTTATCGATAACAAAATACAAATAACAAGTAATAATATAGCATGCTAAACATCGAGAAAGTTTAACACATTTAACACATGCTTCATGCTAAAGTAATATCATGAAGAATCCAATAAACAATTTTTGATTTGATGCAATAGAATAAACATTAATATATAAGTTATGGCATGTAATGATTGCTGTGACGTGACTGCAATCATAACATGCCCTAACTTAAATATTTTGATCTCTGCAACTGACGTATTAAAGTCTCTTTTAACAAAAAACTTGTGCGATCTGGTATCTCTAAAAACTAATGTTAGAGAGAAACGTCAAATTGGCAGTTTAAATTACTTGGCGCCATAAAAGCGAGCGTGTCATGTAGAAAAGATCGGAGAACAAAAAAATTGCAATATAAGAATTATAATTTTTTAGTTTTGTAATTTATTAAAATGAGTGACACAGAGGATGTTAAAATAATCCTAAATCAATTGTCGGTACATACTGTTCCATCAAGCGATGATGACGAGATACATAGTGTCGCCAGCAGCGCAACATCGCGTAGCAAGTCACCGACCTCCCGTCGAAAGAGGAAAGGTAAATTGCGAAAGTCTAAGACTGAAAAAGCAATATACAAATTTACGTAAGTGTATGCAATAACAATGAGTTTATGAATTATTTTTATTTATACATTTGTTAGGCGTTACATGCGCGAAGATCATGGACAACCACTGTTCGGCGTAAAGTTCAACAATTATTTGCCCGAAAAACAAGCAATATTTGCATCAGTTGGCGCCAACAGAATTTCAATATATGAATGCCTACAAGATGAAAAAGGTAGTATAGAGTTGTTGCTTGTATTTGCCGATCCAGATGTGGAAGAAAATTATTATACATGTGCTTGGTCATATGATACATCAACAAAGCAACCGCTTATAGCGGTTGCAGGAATGCGTGGTGTTATACGTGTGATAGATATATCGAAAGTATCTAATCGTCATTATATTGGCCATGGTCAAGCGGTTAATGAATTGAAATTTCATCCAAAACTACCACAATTGCTTGTTTCAGCTAGCAAAGATCATTCATTGCGTTTATGGAATATAGAGACGCAATTATGTGTGGCTATATTTAGCGGTGTGGAAGGACATCGTGATGAGGTACTTTCAGTTGACTTTGATGCAAAAGGTTATTGTATAATGTCCGCTGGTATGGATCATTCTTTAAAGTTATGGTCTCTGCAGAAGGAAAATATTACTAAGGCAATTGATGCGAGTTTAACGTACAAAGAGAAAAATTCGAGATTTCCCACTTGGAGAGAGCATTTTCCGGATTTTTCAACTAGAGATGTACATAGAAACTACGTGGATTGCGTACAATGGTTTGGAAATTTTTTATTATCAAAATCATGTGAGAACGAAATAGTTTGCTGGAAGCGAGGAGATCTAGACGATACCGTTTTAAAACCAAATGACACAACTGCAACAGTATTGCATCGTTTTCCTATAAAGGACTGTGATATATGGTTCATTCGTTTTGAATTCAATTTCTCACATAAAATGATGGCTTTGGGGAATCAGCAAGGAGTGACTTATGTTTGGGAAATGGGTGTAGAAGATCCACAGTCGACAAAATGTCACATGTTAGCACATGCCAGATGCAACACAGCAATAAGACAAACAACATTTTCCAGAAATGGTAATGTACTGATCTGCGTTTGCGATGACGGCACCATTTGGCGTTGGGATCGCAGAAATGATTAATTTTTCACTAATTTAGAATTAAGTGCACAATTGGATGGATTTACTGTTTAATTCGGACTGTGAAGCAGCGCTCACTACTTTTTTATATATACTATTACTTAAGATTTTCTTCATTTAAGTTTTTAATTTACTTTTTCAATTTTATTATTCACATTGCATACATTTTTTTTTTTTTGAATTATTAACGTCTTAAACGTTATTTAACTTAATCAGTTAAATTGATTATTTAATCAATTGATTAAATTGATTGATTAAAAAGTAATTTACTATAGAAAATAAGTCTTACATAAACAAATTTTGCATCGAATTTTTCATCTAAGATAATGCATTTCAAAAGTATAATATCGCAAAAATCTCATTTTATAAATTACAATTGAAATTTAAATAAATGAGAGTTAAGTACAAATATTTATGCATTCTCACCGAAATTAAGCTTTAAATCTGTGATATGTGGTAAGTAATTTAGGAGTTCACACTTAAATAGTCAGTAGTTGGTCGGTTAAAATAAGAGTTCCTATTGGTCTGTTGAGCTTTATAAGAGACGAAAAGTTTTATGTGTCGACAAGCTAGCTAGAAGAGGTATCTAATAGCGTTTCTTCCATTATAACTTCCGTAATAAAAATATTATATCTCTATGATAATATAATATTCGTTAAGTTAATAATCACGATATGATTTAAGTATTGAAAAGCTGACAATGGCAATAGCAGGCTCAATACAAATTATTATCAAGAATAAAAAACAATTTGATAATATTACAACAGCTGTGTTGGTTTTATGACTCGTGAAACCACAGTCCAATTAATGGACACAGTAATAGAAAAAAAATATTGAGGTTGGAACTTTAAAGTTATCTTTAAATTTACACATATAAATAATAATGATATAAATTTTATTAGGTACAAGCACTTAAATAAACTTTTACATCCGCCCAAACATTTTATGCCATATAGAGAGTGTGTCTTTTGTGTAACATCCTGTCCCGGCATTACAAACTATAAAATCGATTATCGATTGCTGTTGAAGATCATAAAAATATGTTTATGAAATCCATCTAAAGTCTCTGTAATTCATTTAGTCATGAGCAACAAGAACAGCGCTCTTCCATTGAACGACAACTTGTACAGTTGAATGATGCCTCCGGCCAAACATATCATATAAACAGTAAAGCATTAAACCCTCTTTGTAGCCAAGAACCACAATCCTAATCGCAAACTTAATCTTAATTTTATATTAGCAACATTGTTGATATGCTTTAGTTTAGGCCTATGAACTTTAAAAATAAAAATTGCTTTATTTACTTTCGAGACAAATTTTATGATTTTATTAAAGAAATCCTTTGAATGCAACCAAAGGTGTCTTCGTCGTTTGTGCTTTACTCGTATCCTTAGCACTCTCATCTAATACAAAAATATCCTTAAGCATTTTCCTAGTTGACGAAATGTAAAATTGTGGCGCTATTAACACCACCACGTGTCATTATCCATGCGGATAGGGGAGCAGAGAGGCAATCATGGTTGTTGGAAACGCTTTAAGTTTAGAAACTGAAAAATAAATAATACAAAAAAAATCCTTTATCCTTCTTTAGATATTTCGTTTTATGCTTCTTCGTTCGTTTAAACAAACTGGAAAATGTAGTTCAAGTAAACATAATGAATACATGTATTCGCGCATCTGATTTCCATAGGAAAACCCTCCAGTTATCAAACGCAATTTATCACTCATCAAAGTCGTATCACTTTCCATCAAAGCTGCACTTGAAAAAATATATGAAAATAGAAGATAACTATTTTTCATTAAATAATACAGAAAACTGAGAAGCTGACTTTCAGTAATAATAACTATTATCAGAAACCTTTTCTTTGCGGTTAATAACAAAAACCCTAGCATTAATATATATCACTAAACTGTGTCAAATATCATAGCTAACCACAGGAAGTTTTTAATATATTATTGTTATATTTGAATATTTATTAATTGGGTTATTCGTTTGAAAATGTTAGTAAATTGACGCTTCCAGTAGCACCTATCATACTAAAAACACACGAATATACCTATGTACATTCACCTTATATTCCATCACAAGTAGTAAGATACTTGCTCGTATCACGCATTTGGTGCTAACTAAATGTGTCGTTAAAAGTTTATTGCAGAAAGTGCTTTTGCAGCAGAGCAGGGGAAGCAGAAATATTTTCCACTTTTAAGGATGTGGACGGGACCACATGTCAAAATTGAAACATCACAATTTGTTGACATGAGTTCCAATTTATTACAAAAGACTGCTCACATAACATATATCGCTTTTCATAGTGATTCTTCCCAGACTTCGAAGTTATTTTTCCGGACAATACAGATGAAATGAATTTTTAAATATTATTTCTGTCATTATTAGTTCGTTTTTTCCTTTCCTTTTCTTTTTTTATAGCGATTACATTACCAAAAAAGAACAACAAAAACAATTATGGAGCAATTATGGAAATGAAGTAATGGACCTCGAACTGTTTCTCAATTTCCATTTTAATTAGTAGAAATGAGCTTAACAAGTGCTTAATTAAATATTATTTAAAGATACATTCACTTTGCACACGTTATTTTGAGTAATCGAGCTACTAACTCAATACGATAAATTTTAAACGAAACTTCAACTTAAATTCCTCATCTGAAACATTCTTTGAAATTCTAGTGACTTAGAATTTGAATAAGCAACTTACCACAAACTATTAATTAGGGATTAAAAATATTACCAGAACTATATTAACCATAGTTATAAAGTGACGAAGTCTATTAAAAGTAATTTCATTTGATTACTCGTATAACAAATGATTAGTTTTTTGCTATTGTTGGAACCGGGGAGTTTCCTCTGAGAGAGACCACGTCCAACCGCTGGAACGTGGTCTCTAGTCAAATTTGACAGTAAAGTCTGCCTAGAAACCAGACCATAGTCTATATGGTTTGTTTTACTTGTTTCCATTTCATATTATTAAATATTGCATTTAAATTCTAATTAAAGGTCTGTGAAAAAAATTTTTTAGTTTAATTACTTTGTTTTCAATTAATTACATTTTTTTTATTTATATAATCGAATTGATTATGTGATTTTGTATGTATTTATATATTGACTACAATTGCGTTGCAATTATATATATGGCTGCAATTTATTCAATAAATGCCAGTTCATCCATAATTGGTACCTTCATTTACAACTGTAACTTTCCATTTAAAAGATTGAATTTCAGATATTCTTAGTAGTCCTTTTTAAAAAGTTTCGACCCATTAATTTAGATGAAAACTTGAAGGGAGCAACCCAATTAGTTGATTCAGAATAATCTTGATTGAATAGAATTGAATAGAGGGATAGATGGGTAAGTAAATATGCGAAATATGTGTATGCGATCGCATAATAGAGACCATATGTGTGACGAAATTTCTGCATATGCACAAGTGATTAATTTTATTTGCTTAAAATGGGACGAAATCAGCTTTAAAGCGCACACTTTGTATGGTGTTTGTATGGCAGTTCAAGTACAGCTGGGATCTTTAGTTCAACTAGAGCAATGAGCAGTGAGCAGTGATGACACCCAACAAGTGGGCGTTGGCATTGGTGTTGATGGACAAATTATATCCGCTTCGCATGCTGTATTGCAATTTACTGCACATAAACATAAAAACATAAAACATACAAATTATCATTTTTACACATTGTTCTTGTTATTGTTTTGTATCGAATTGATGTTGATGTTGATGTTGATTAATTTATTTATGAACATTATTTCTACTTGGCATTTGTCTTCATAGTGGTTTCATGGAAAGTTGGAATCATTTTTCACATTGGCGCACTTTAAACAATACCACGAGTAAAATGGTTTACAGTAATTGTAGCGCAGAGTTCGAATGCAGTGTGAATTGAATGGGTCCGTCGTATGGTATATCCCACACACAGCAGGACCAACAGACACTAACAGTAGCAGATTAATCTTACTTTTCTGCAAAGGGGGTGAGAAGTAAGCAGTATATGTTCTTATTTTGAACTGTTTTTATTTTTGTATTTCATTGTATTTGTTAACATTCAAGCATCGGAACGCATTCAGTTCCAATAATCCAAATGTTCCCTATTTTTTCTTAGGTGGATTATAATAAATTATCGCCAAAACTAGAACTCCGATTTAATTGAACATCACTTTAACTTTACATTAAAGAAGTTTGGGAGAAAAATTTGATAACTTGATTGGTTTTTCGTTTCTGACGGATGAAAAACATCAAAATGGAGGCTTTTGAGATTAGAGATTGCAGCCCATTAAGTCCACTTCTTGGGATAAAGTATTAATGACTAATATTTGATTCCAGTAACTGTAGGCAAACGATTCATGTAGATGATTTCAATTGCAAAGAATAGGTAGTCTAAATAGATACCTATGCATATGAATATTATTTTACAGAATAACATAATCATCATTAATTAATTGATATCTAAAATGTGAAATTTTATTCCACAAAGAGAATCTTGCTTTGCTCACAGCACGGCTTATTGTTGTTGGAGCTGTACTCGACTGTTGCAATGTTCAAGTGCAAACTTGGTTAAGTGCATATCTGGAAAGGGTGGCAATGGGTTGCACAACTCGTTGTCAATTATTCTTGATAAGCTATAGCACATATTGTAATAAAATTGATTAAACTGAAATATTTCACAAAAGCCACTTTTATATTAAAAGGTAATTTAAAGAGTTTATTTTAGCTAATCAATCCTTATCTTCATCCAGTAAACTCAACTTGAAGTGTTATGGGAAAGGGTTTATCAGGATTAACTGTATGCTAATTTAAAATTCTGTATAAAGTTATTAAATAAGTTTGCTCCAATATTCAATACTTTTAAAAAAAAAATGATAATGGATAAATATACCCAATGCATTTTTATAAAAATATTCAGATATAATACAATTGCAGCAGTTAACTCAAATTATCCAGACAAGTATGCAATTTAAGACAGTTGATAAATTGTTTTAAAAAAATTAAAGAATTACAAAAAATTAGAAACAATTTTTATTTAATTTCATCCTTAACAAATGCCGCAAACGTACAAATTGAAAATATGCCTTCCAACCCCAAAAACTCATATCATACACTGTTTTTGTTTTGCCTCTCTATTTTGACATTCCTCATTGTGTTCATATCCATACATATTCATACAACAATTAAATGCATTCCACTGGTTGTTTACATTTTTAGTAGACATTCACAATAAAAAGCCGCATAGAGTTAACTAGTACTCATGTGTTATCGCATAGACTATATTAATAAAATCATTTTATATATATAAGTTTTTATAGTCTTAAAATGAAATTTATTGTAAATATAATTATAATTTGTCTTTTCAGTTGTGAAAAAAATGCAATGTCATTCTAATTCATTGTGAACAATTTTGCCATATGCTGATTTACGTTCCATTTTGCACATACAGTCCACAATACTATTCTCAGACGCTATGAAATGATTTCAATTTAGTTCGGTTTGTGACTATGCTGAGGTAAAGACGTTTGGTGCGGTAGAATTGTACGTCGTTGTGTTATTTAATTGTTATTAATATTAATAAAAATTATTGAAAATATGTTTTAAAATTGTTTGTAATAGTAAAAATAAATAATTTAAGTATTATTGCAAAAGATTTGTTGTGAAAAAGTGTTTGTTTCATACATAATAAAGCAATAAAATTCATTAAAAAAAGGCTATTAAAAGCAGCTACACGAATTATAATTCCTGTCTTATGTTGAGTTTGTGCTTGTGTTCGTTTGTCGGTGTTTATTTTTAAATTATTATTTACTTGTGAAGAGTTTTAAAAATATTTAGCTTATGTTCAAGCATACAGCATAAATAAAATATTATATTAAGAATTTCAAACAAAAGTCATAACTATAAAATATGTGCATTATTTTGTAAAAGCGCTCAAATGCTTCGATTCTAAAGATTGTAGAAAGCGAATTAATAATACGTCAGCAGCACAGCATCCCGTCATGACGCTGTGGCCGGTTTTGTTATGTTTTGGTGTAAAAATGTTCAAAATCAAATGTTTTTCAATTTCACGTATAAAATATGCAATATTAGTGTTATTTTTGTTCGAGTGTGGAGTTTTATCGTCTGGTGCTGACTTAACTACCGTCGTGAAAGCTACCAGCAAGCAGAGGCATCATCAGCCGGAGGAAGATTGGATCTTTCTTAGAAAGCAAAGTAAGTCGAAGTTGGCCATAATCAAGTAAACGTAACACGCTTTAGCGGAAGATAAAGTGGAATTTGTTTCTTCTTATATAAATAATATGAAATTATAAAAATTGAAAATCCAGAATACGGGTTTCTTAAAAGAATGAAGATGGATTAATTTCGATTCAAAATTTTGTCTATTAAAATCTATTATTTCTTCGTAGCCTTTCTTGCTAATTTTGAAAATAATCTTTGAATACAAAAATTAAAAAAAATATTTAATTTTTTCATTGTTTCATTCATAACAACAATCTGAAAATGTTGCTAATATAAATTGTATTAAATGTGATGTTAAAATCTCTTAGAAGATTTCAGGCTATCTTTCAAATCAGGCTATTCTTTAATAACCAATTTTTATCATTTGTATTAACTTGCTCATGCTTATGTTTATTTGTATTAACTTTATATGAAATATATTTATAGAATCTTTAGAACCTTACAAATTAAATATGTTGTAAATTTTGAATAATTCAGTAAGTAACTTAATGTATCATACAACAACATAACTTCGTACAAATTATAAACATACGCATACTGGATATTTATCTCCTCTGGTAACGAGATCAGTAATCGAATAATTTGATTACACAGAACTGTAGCCAAGAACATAATAGATACACACGAAATGTGTTACTAATGCAGTGTTAATATTTTACTCGATTATGGATCTCATTATGCGATATCGTGAATACCCCTTAACATTTTATTCTCTTCTTTGGTACCTATTTCCGCATGAACAATTTATTATATTGTGATTTTTGATATCTGATGATCGTAAACTATAGGTTACGATTGAAGTAGGAAGTCTTAGTTGAACAATAGCTACACTCTGAAGACAGTAATTAACTGATGGATAAAACGTTAATTCGATAATAACTGATGAGTACTGCTGTCCATACAGTCTGAATCTGAACAAGAATTTTTTTAAAGATAGAAGTTCCAAATTAACATTTAGCGTACGAACAGCGTGATTGGTAGTTCCAAGATGTTATATAAATTTTATTGGCAGTACATTGGTAATTTTTTACTTGAGCATATTTACGGGAACAAAGCTATGAGCATTTTAACATGAAAGTTTAAGAAAATCTTAACTGTTCTTTTAAATACATAAATAAATTTGAACTATTTAGATAGATATGAATTTTTTTTATTTTATTTTCGATACTCTGAGCTTAATTGGTAGGCTTCATTCTAGGCTCAGTCGTTATGTTTCTTGCCAGCGAAATGTGAAGATTGCATGTCTGCGCTATATAAAAACATCGCTGGTAATTTGGGCATTACATGAGTTTAATTGGGAGTTAACCAGAGTGTAGGCCATTTGTTAACATTTAAAATGCGATATTTCAAGCTGTGGCAATAAAAATGCAAACTGAATGCGAAAAGCAGAAATGCAATGCGGATACGCGATGTGGCTGTTAAGGTTGTTAAGGTAAACATGGAAGAGTTTATAACGCGGACATTAACCCGCAATTCAAATAAATTCTTTTTATTATTCTCGTTTTAGCTGCAGCCGCTCTTGCAGTGCGAAGGCGCCATTTTTCATGCGAATTGTAAAAAACAATAAACAAATTTGTTAAAAAATTTGTAATAAATAAAAAATTTATTCAAATTTTGTTCATGTTGAGTTTTATTTAGTAGTCATTTTTTATTTCAGACGTTTTTATTTTTTTTTTTTTTAGCAAATATATCTAAATTTCACATTCGCCCAACCAAACAAAAAATAATTTATGAAATTCATTTGCTTTTTTGATGCTAAAAATTTAAAAATATTCAAAAAATTCACAGTATTCATAGTATTCACAGTATTAAATTGAAAATAAATTCTAATAAAAATTACTCAAAATATTCAAACAAAAAAATTGAACTAAATAAAATATGTGCGAGAAATCCAGCACATTTAAAGCATATCACCCAACCCCGGCTAAGGTGTTTCGGAACGGACTGTGCATTCAGATACAAAAATATGTAAACAAGCGCGAAAGCTGTCAATGAAGTGATTTTTTACACAATTTTATTGGCAATTGTCGCATTTTGATTCTGTTATACGCGAATGAGGTAGCGGGGCATATCAAACGCTACCAAGTTCATTCCGCTAGAGTTGTTCATTAATAGATACATTATAAACAATCCCGTCGACAGTCTTGTTACACCGCAGCTCGTCTCACTCGTCTCATTCGCCTCATTCGCACAATTCATTGTATCTTTATTGCTGACACGTTCGAATAAGTACAACAACATCTGAAATTCTTCCATAACAAAGAAAGTACGAACAGGCAGTGAAGAGCTTAAATTGAATTCAATAACACAGAATCAGATCTCATAAGGCATAAGTAAGAACGTGCTTACTCGGTAAAAATTAAATTTAATAAAAATTATATTGTTGCTTATTGCTGTAGTTGTTTAAGTATTGTAGCTGCTATACATTCGTGGAAGTCATTGGCAAAGTTGTCTCTAATGATACCCATCAACTCCCACATACGCTGCTGCTTAGGCTCATTTAAATTAATTTGTAGCACATTTGCACTTAATAAGTCAAGCGCATTGCTTCGAGAGACGTTTCTTTATTAGAGGAGTGAGGGGTGGGGTGTTAACAGTAGCAGAACAGTTCAGAGTAGATAATTCCATGGAGCGCACAACGTAAGTGGTTACTGTTGTAACTTTACAGTGTATTTAATCAATTTTAATTAATTTATTATCATTTGAAATGTTTATATAGAGGTTTTGTAAAAAAAATTTTTGTGTTCTTTTATTAAGTGCTGTTAACTGGTAGTTTGGTTTCTTTTTCTCTTCTCACTGTAAGTACTTTAAATCGAGACTTTGGCCTTTCGGTACTCTACCCAAAATGAAACTTTAGTCAAAAATCCTCAACATAACAAAATTAATCCATTTAATAGATTAAGTAAAACTCAGTTTTTTCCTTTTGAATATAATTTAATTAAATGTCTGTGTTACTATATCATTATGCTTAAATGGGTTCCGAAAATAAGGTTTTTTTTTATTGTTTTGGCACTGTTTTTCTGCTGTAGAAAAATTAGTATTTGAACCATATGTTTTAGTTCTTCTTCAGGTAAAGTTTCCTTTTAACAGCTTGTGTCCCGGTTGATATTGGAAATTGATACTATTTTACTATATACTATATGATACTATTTTTTCATTTCTTAGCCCTTCAAAATTTACGATACGCAGAAAACATTCTATGCTGAAAAAATGCTTTATTTTTCTACTTATTGTTTTCTACTTATTGGTTTCTATTACTTTTATTTTATTTTATCACTCAATATATATTATACTATATATAATAGATAATAGATTATCTAATTCGTCTTTCAAATGTGATTAGTTAACTTTTTATATCTTTTTATATAAAGTGATGATTTGCTTATGTCGTTGTTGCGTTTTTTATAAATATTCAAAAATATGGAATTATCTTCGATGTTATCATTTGTTTTTGTTTAAAACAACACAAGATATCTATTTTTCAAAAAAAGAATATTAATATTCACTATACAGATGTCATCAGATGAAAGTATTCAAACATATGAGACTGAAAAACAGCAGGCATTAAGGCGAAGAGCAACAGCAAACAAAAAACCCATGATTATGCCAAGAAATCATCTTCACTTAAATATAAAAAAATATTATTTTTGGCAAAATATAAAGACAATAAAAAAACAAAACCATAAGTTATAAAAATAATAGACAGTAAACGAAGCAAATAGGCAGTAATTTTTTTTTCTAATAATATTCCCCAGTCAATACACTTTGGCAAACACAAATAAATCCTAAGCATTCTCCCATTAGTAAAATTTGAAATATATCATTTCCTAGCCAAATACTTAAATACTTATCCGCCACCTTTACCCTGTAATCCGCAACACCAGCAGCTGCCTAAGCATATATTTTTATTTTGCAATTGTTCTTGTCATTGTTGTTGTTGTTGTTGTTGTTGTTTGCGCTCTTAAAGCAACACCTTTTGGGCTTAATTGCTTTTATTTTGTTTCGGACTACGATGCCGGTCATCGTGTAAATTTGTTGTTGTCGTTGTTGTAGTCGCTTTTGCTACGATTGTTTGTTGTTATTGGTAACACATTAAAGTAATAGTGTTGCCGGTTTCGTACGTTGTGCGTGAGCTTGACTAAGTAAACTAACTTGTTGTTGTTTTTCTTGCCTTGCTCTTGACGTTTCTTTATTTCTTTGTTGCATTTACTAAGTTATTACTGTTGTTGCTTTTGCTTTTGCTTTTGTTTTTATTTATTTTTATATGCTGTGCTTGTTTGTGTTCAGTTGTCTGTAGAAATAGTTTTTTTAATTTTTTATTAAATCTGTTTTTATGCTGAGTGCAGGTTAGCGTTTGCTCTTGAACTTGTCTAGCGCCGCGTATTTTAAAATATAATAAAAAATGTGTATGTGTATTTTATTTTTTATTTTGACTATAAAATGTTGTTTTATTTTTGTTTTTATTTTTTATCTTTTGTTTTGTTTTCTGTTTTTTGTTTTTGAATTTATAAATAGTTTACTTAAAGGAAAGTAACTTTACTCGTCAGTTGTTATTTAGACTTATGGATGAAGTGAGATTAAGTGCTTCCAAATAGTGATCTTGTTTTCCACAAGTTTTTACGGTTCAAATTTAAAAATACTTAATAGTTTGAATGTATGTCTACATACATACTAGGAAATATAATCATATTTATTTCTTTTTTTTTTATATATTGTACTAGTTGTGGCAGATTAGCTTTATTCATATTTAATATTATTTTTTAGTCCAAATCTATTAAATCCACTTTTGATGGAATAATTATTTAGATGCGTTAGGTTAGGTTAGGTTATACCGGCGATCCACTTAGGGGGATCCACTTAGGCATATGGGCCCATTGTGCTATCGTGTTAATAAAAGCCCAAGTGCTAAAATCATCTAGAACCTTGGCAAAGGTGGCGTCACGCATGTGCCAGACAGAAACAAAGCAGGTGGGAGACACTTTCATCATTTTCACCACAACTGTGGCAGATATGGTTGAAAGGAAGATTTAGTTTCCCAGCATGGTTACGTAGAATACAATGGCCTGTTAGTAAATCTACTGCAAGACTAATATCTCTACGGAGCTTCTCTATGAGAGATGTCGATTTTCTTCTATTGGTATGTGGCCGAATTGTAGATAGTAGTGTCTTCCCATCTTTTATTAAAAAGTTTAACACAGGAAGAACTCAATACCAATTTGCATAATGTTAACGACATGCCAAGATTGTTTAGGTGTTCTAAGTGGTTTCCTGAAGCACCCCGTCTGGCTAGCTCATCTGCTTTGCGATTATCGAAAATATCCCTATGACCGGCAACCCAGATTAGCGAAATATTGAATTGCGTCGACATCTCATTTAGAGATGTGTAGCAGTCAAAGACTGTCCTAGATGTAAATTGGATTGAACTCAAGGACTTTAAAGCAGCTTGTTTAGATAAGATTCTTTAGTGTTTTATCGTTTGAAAAAATGTTAAAAAATGCGTTTGTTAAGCGCCTAATGCTTTGATAGATCAACATTGTTAAAAACTAAACTAGTATTGAACATAGCTTATGGAAATAAAAAGAAAAAGTTGAAGGTTTAAATGGTTTAAGATTGTATTGATGTGAGTATATACTATATGGAATCGATAGAGTTTATTATCACAGTTTTTTTTTTATTTTAAATTTTCGTGTGCTCCAAGGATAAAATTGGAACACATCATGATTGTAGACAATAAACACACTAATAACACTGCATGCTGCAGTTGATAATTTTAATTCCGAAAACAAGTAACCCCAATTTGCCAAAATTATCCTGCAGACTAACGAATTTCACATACAAAAATAATTGTTTTTTTTTATTTTTTGGGTGGTTTTCATTTGTTTTGCTTTGTTTTATGCCTCCATTGTTTTGCTGTTAACACATGCGGTTAAAATACTTAATACCTTTTACCTACCCTACCTGCATTTTGTCCGAGTGTAAGCCAGGAAATCCACAACATCTGTTAGTCAGATTAACAAATAAGTGAGAACCCAACAAAAACCATCCAAGCTAGACTACGTGAAATTAAACTTTTATTTTATGGGTCAGACCAAGTTGAAACTAGCGCAACACCGAGCCAACTGCATCATTTGCCAGCAACTGAGCAACTATAGTTGCAACAATTTTCAAAACTTTTTTGATGAGTTACTGCAGCAGACAACATTGTGTGTTTTAGCAAAATAGGGTCACCATACAATAAAAAAAGAACAATATGTATTTATATGTATCTGCGTTTATGTATCGAGAATCTAAGTATCTTATATATGCCGGTCATGTGGCATATTTTTTCTTTTTTGTAATTTTCGAATGTACAATGAATTGTCTTGTTGTTGACGATATTGGGAGCAAAATATGTTTGCAACATTAATTAAAAATCTCCAATGACGTTAAGCGAAACTAAAAAGTAGATTTTAGAACTGTAATAAAAAAGCATTGATTTTAGTTTGGAACTTTCATCTTGTTGGACTAAGTCGTGTTTTAAAACGAGCTTTTGTTTAAAATTTATTAATACTTAAATCAAAAATCTTAAGCAAAAATGCTGATAAGTTCCTTTCTTAACATTAAATTCTAGCATGTCTCTCCAGGCGTCTCTGCTGCATGCGGGCCATCTCCCGGCCCGTACATCAAGTATGCTTAGTGTTTCCACAACTTGATCACTTCAGCGGAGATAAGAGCTACTTCTACGTTTTCCTATTAGTAGTGAATTTTAATAAATATCACATAAAAATAAAGTATATTAAAACCTTGCACCGGTGGTCCAACTGTAGTCAAAAAAAAAACTATTTATACACCTTTATTTTGACTGTTATCTTATTTTAAGTTGATACCCGTAGTTTTCTGACTTCTGAAAAAAGGTCGAATGGTCTTTGCAAAGATTTTTTAATTAATTTATACAAAACTCAGTAAATCAGTTTATATCGTCTACTGAATTTGTATTCAAGTATTTAAATTTATATACCAGTATTCAAAAGTATATTATACAGTATAGTCAAGCCAACTTTTTTATCAATCATTTTTAAGTATGAAGAGTTGTTTTTTAATAAAGTAGCATTGATTAAAATTTCTTTTTTTTTTTAAAAAAGTAATTTCTGAAATATTTGCACACTGTTATGTATGGCAGAAAATGGATGAAATATGGCAGCCTTAGCAATTCAACATGATCATATGCCAGCATGGAACAAAAGCAACAATTTACAACTGCCTGAAATATATGAAACACCCAACGACGTAACGAGCAATTCCAATGCAGTTTACATACATAGTATTTCCACCAGTTCACGCATTCAAACTCAAATTCTTGCGAATATTCGCAATCGTATTCATATTTGGATTATCGGAATTGAATGCGTTTCGATGCTTGAATGTTAACAAATACAATGAAGTACAAAAATAAAAACAGTTCAAAATAAGAACATATACTGCTTACTTCTCACCCCCTTTGCAGAAAAGTAAGATTAATCTGCTACTGTTAGTGTCTGTTGGTCCTGCTGTGTGTGGGATATACCATACGACGGACCCATTCAATTCACACTGCATTCGAACTCTGCGCTACAATTACTGTAAACCATTTTACTCGTGGTATTGTTTAAAGTGCGCCAATGTGAAAAATGATTCCAACTTTCCATGAAACCACTATGAAGACAAATGCCAAGTAGAAATAATGTTCATAAATAAATTAATCAACATCAACATCAACATCAATTCGATACAAAACAATAACAAGAACAATGTGTAAAAATGATAATTTGTATGTTTTATGTTTTTATGTTTATGTGCAGTAAATTGCAATACAGCATGCGAAGCGGATATAATTTGTTCATCAACACCAATGCCAACGCCCACTTGTTGGGTGTCATCACTGCTTACTGCTCATTGCTCTAGTTGAACTAAAGATCCCAGCTGTACTTGAATTGCCATACAAACACCATACAAAGTGTGCGCTTTAAAGCTGATTTCGTCCCATTTTAAGCAAATAAAATTAATCACTTGTGCATATGCAGAAATTTCGACACACATATGGTCTCTATTATGCGATCGCATACACATATTTCGCATATTTACTTACCCATCTATCCCTCTATTCAATTCTATTCAATCAAGATTATTCTGAATCAACTAATTGGGTTGCTCCCTTCAAGTTTTCATCTAAATTAATGGGTCGAAACTTTTTAAAAAGGACTACTAAGAATATCTGAAATTCAATCTTTTAAATGGAAAGTTACAGTTGTAAATGAAGGTACCAATTATGGATGAACTGGCATTTATTGAATAAATTGCAGCCATATATATAATTGCAACGCAATTGTAGTCAATATATAAATACATACAAAATCACATAATCAATTCGATTATATAAATAAAAAAAATGTAATTAATTGAAAACAAAGTAATTAAACTAAAAAATTTTTTTCACAGACCTTTAATTAGAATTTAAATGCAATATTTAATAATATGAAATGGAAACAAGTAAAACAAACCATATAGACTATGGTCTGGTTTCTAGGCAGACTTTACTGTCAAATTTGACTAGAGATCACGTTCCAGCGGTTGGACGTGGTCTCTCTCAGAGGAAACTCCCCGGTTCCAACAATAGCAAAAAACTAATCATTTGTTATACGAGTAGTCAAATGAAATTACTTTTAATAGACTTCGTCACTTTATAACTATGGTTAATATAGTTCTGGTAATATTTTTAATCCCTAATTAATAGTTTGTGGTAAGTTGCTTATTCAAATTCTAAGTCACTAGAATTTCAAAGAATGTTTCAGATGAGGAATTTAAGTTGAAGTTTCGTTTAAAATTTATCGTATTGAGTTAGTAGCTCGATTACTCAAAATAACGTGTGCAAAGTGAATGTATCTTTAAATAATATTTAATTAAGCACTTGTTAAGCTCATTTCTACTAATTAAAATGGAAATTGAGAAACAGTTCGAGGTCCATTACTTCATTTCCATAATTGCTCCATAATTGTTTTTGTTGTTCTTTTTTGGTAAAGTAATCGCTATAAAAAAAGAAAAGGAAAGGAAAAAACGAACTAATAATGACAGAAATAATATTTAAAAATTCATTTCATCTGTATTGTCCGGAAAAATAACTTCGAAGTCTGGGAAGAATCACTATGAAAAGCAGACGATATATGTTATGTGAGCAGTATTTTGTAATAAATTGGAACTCATGTCAACAAATTGTGATGTTTCAATTTTGACATGTGGTCCCGTCTACATCCTTAAAAGTGAAAAATATTTCTGCTTCCCCTTCTCTGCTGCAAAAGCACTTTCTGCAGTACACTTTTAATGACACATTTAGTTAGCACCAAATGTGTGAAACGAGCAAGTATCTTACTACTTGTGATGGAATATAAGATGAATGTACATAGGTATATTCGTGTGTTTTTAGTATGATAGGTGCTACTGGAAGCGTCAATTTACTAACATTTTCAAACGAATAACCCAATTAATAAATATTCAAATATAACAATAATATATTAAAAACTTCCTGTGGTTAGCTATGATATTTGACACAGTTTAGTGATATATATTAACGCTAGGGTTTTTGTTATTAACCGCAAAGAAAAGGTTTCTGATAATAGTTATTATTACTAAAAGTTAGCTTCTCAGTTTTCTGTATTATTTAATGAAAAATAGTTATCTTCTATTTTCATATATTTTTTCAAGTGCAGCTTTGATGGAAAGTGATACGACTTTGATGAGTGATAAATTGCGTTTGATAACTGGAGGGTTTTCCTATGGAAATCAGATACGCGTATACATGTATTCATTATGTTTACTTGAACTACATTTTCCAGTTTGTTTAAACGAACGAAGAAGCATAAAACGAAATATCTAAAGAAGGATAAAGGATTTTATTTGTATTATTTATTTTTCAGTTTCTAAACTTAAAGCGTTTCCAACAACCATGATTGCTTCTCTGCTCCCCTATCCGCATGGATAATGACACGTGGTGGTGTTAATAGCGCCACAATTTTACATTTCGTCAACTAGGAAAATGCTTAAGGATATTTTTGTATTAGATGAGAGTGCTAAGGATACGAGTAAAACACAAACGACAAAAACACCTTTGGTTACATTCAAAGGATTTCTTTAATAAAATCATAAAATTTGTCTCGAAAGTAAATAAAGCAATTTTTATTTTTAAAGTTCATAGGCCTAAACTAAAGCATATCAACAATGTTGCTAATATAAAATTAAGATTAAGTTTGAGATTAGGATTGTGGTTCTTGGCTACAAAGAGGGTTTAGCGCTTTACTGTTTATATGATATGTTTGGCCGGAGGCATCATTCAACTGTACAAGTTGTCGTTCAACGGAAGAGCGCTGTTCTTGTTGCTCATGACTGAATGAATTACAGAGGCTTTAGATGGATTTTATAGATACATTTTTATGATTTTCAACAGCAACATAACACTTTAGTTTAAGTGGTGAGTATAATCGATTTTATAGTTTGAGTATGTTAGATAAAAGATACATAAGATTGTTGGACAAAGTTAGTATAATAGTTTATGTGAGCGCTTGTGTTTAATAAAATTTATATCACTTTTATTATTTATGTGAGTAAGTTTTAATCCTTCTTGATGACATACATTCATTATGTTCACAATAGAGAAAAACGAATTGAAACTGTGAACGAATATGTAACTTGTAGATATTTATGCGTGTTAAAGCTTCATGAACGATAACACCTTTTTAGGTGCGTCTGATACGCACCTTTTATTATATTTAAAAAAGGAAAAGTAATTTTGAGTTAGCAATTGATATATGTTTTTAACCGTGATAAGCGAGGAATTGTAATCTTTCCAATGAACAAAGCTCTTTCGAAACCAAAATATTGTTTCATCATTTATTCCAGTAGCATACATATGTATATAATAGCATACATTTTCCTAAATTGCTTCAGATATTTTATGAATTTGTACAATTAAAAGTCATTTTCAACCAAAAGTAGCGATGCAAAAAATTTCCATTTGAATTTTAGTGTTTCATTAACTTATATTAGGTCGGGCAGTTATACCGTGAAACAGTTGTACCCTTTTTTCTATTGCTTAATTAAATATGAAATTAAAATTAGAAACGTGTGCCCGCATATTTTTGCCGCTACTGTAGTTGAGATTCACCCTCAGTATAAAAATGAGGTCAATAACACTTCTCGGCGAGGGAGCGAACAATGGCGCACAAGAATGTGAATCTTTTTAAGGGTACATTTCAAGGGTCGTTTTTGGCTGGATCCATGCCTGTTAAAAGCGATTCAGCGATTCAGCGATTCAAACGCGCAAAACAATTAAGCAGTGCGTCAAGTGCTTAGGCGAGCAACCGGGACAGTGGGGTGAAAAATTTTGTCGAAATCACTGCAGTGGATTTGTGATGGGTCTGAGGAGTGCGAGTAATAAAAATAGAAAAACAAAGATGTGAAAGTATGGAGACACAAGTAAATGTGATGCAGCATAAAAATCGGAGTAGTTTTTAAAAAATGTGCTTGCATATTTTTCTGGTAAGGAAAACAAAAATCCATAAATATTAAAAAACAGAGGGGCAGTTCACAGTGAAGAGTGATTGTGGCAGAGCACTGGATTATCTAGAATTTCAACACAGAAAAAAAATTGGGTTAAGTTTTGAAATGTTTTGGGCATATGTTGGCAAGCACAGCGTATTTTGGAAAATCTGCTGAGTGAGGTATGTGAGGTAATTGGTACTTATGGTTACAGCAAAGGAAAGGAATTGCTTTCGAAATAATAAATATATTTCATGCTTCGAAATCAATTTGTATCTTTTATGTTTATAAAAAAGTACACCAAGTAAAAAACAATATTCGAAAATGCAATTGTAATTAGAATTTTATCAATGTTTTATATTTATTAAATATGTAAACCGCAATTCCTCACAAAAAACCAAATAAATAATTATAAAATAGTAAGATATATAACAAGAACAAAACAGAATACTCAGGTGCACCCTTATAGAATATAATAAAAGAATCTTAAAGATCTTTTTAACAGAGCAGAATTTATTTTGTGAAGGAATTTCCTAAATATAACAAAATCAAAAACTATTCCCTTTAAATATTACAGTGTTTTGTATTGTCCTGGTTAAAGGATACCACTCTGTCAGATCAGATATTAACTCAATCATTTTGTTTAGGCTAAGAACACATGATCTAAACATGTTATTTCTTCCTCTAGCAGACTAAGAGTTAATAGTTTTGCGAATATTGTTATTGTGTTAACAAAATCTTGAATTAAGAGGTAAATTATACCTGTTCTAATAAATATGTGAACATGAGTATCTCTGTACTTTAAATTATTTGATTCTATTGTGACAATTAGCTTCGTAATTTCAAAGAGGCACAAAATTTTTTATTGTTCTTCTAATGAAAATAAAATTTATCTACTCATGCATTGAATAATCAATCTGTGACTGCTTAAAAGTTCTTAATAAAATCAAATATATTCTAGGAGTTTATCCCAGATATTTAATAAATCTAAACTGTAGTCCAAACTTAATAGGAGGTAAACTCTTAATTAGTGAATAGTTTCAAATAATGGCTGTTTTCTGATAGCTTATAAAAATAAATAGTTTTTTTTAACTTAAAGTGTATTTTTACTTCATCCACACTCTTCTCAAGAACTAAATCTTTCTACATAAATTTTTAGTTACTGATTGTTCATTTTTTTGACCTTCAATGGTAGGTCTCACTACATAGTACCTTTGTAATTTAATCTGAATGCTGCATCTGGACTGTTGTCGTAGACTTTCCATTGTGTTTGATGTATTCTGATGTATTGATGCTTATATTGGTATATATATTTGCTTGGCTTGTTATATGTTACAGTGCCTTATTACTTAAAGTTCTTAAAGTATATAAATTTTAAAAATGCCGACAAACAAAAGCTTAAGTCTAATTGTCGAATAATAATTTATTTCGTTAATCGTTATTATCCTCTAACTAAGATTTTTTCATTATAATTTGCGTTAATATGCTTAAATTTATTACAATATATCTGTTATTATTTTGTTTTTATATGTTAACATTTTAACCAATATATGTATATATATATATAAGATATATGTCTGTTTTTTTGGTGTTTAATGGTTTTGATTACATCCGAACCAATTCAGTGTTCAGTGTGGCTCAATTACTATCATTAATATTGAAAACCAACAATTTTTAATTAAAAGTCAAAGTATTTTTGTAAATATTTTTAAAAATAATTCATTTGTTTTTTAATTACAAATAAATAACAGTAATAATTACAGCGAACATATGAGTCCTTTTTTATAATTAAAATTAAAATACCTTAATTTGTAGGTCAATTTGCTTGGCAGCCAAAAGCTGTCAACTGCCACTAAATGTGCGAGCCACTGAGTGTCACTAATTAACAGCTTTCATTACTTGCAATTAAATTAATGGAAATATTCTTTCATGTAGATGAATACATATTTTTATAAAAATATATTTAAACATATTTTTCACGTTATTTTAATTTTTCATTTAAAAAAATGAAAGTTAAATTGCAGTTTTACTTAAAAATGACAGCTCAAAATAGATTTGCATGACTACAAGAATAATCAATGCCATTAAATTAACTTTGTATTTAAATAAGCAAAGGAAAAATATTGAATATATTTTAAAGGTTAAACGAATCGCTTTGACCTGTGGCGTTTCATGATAACCTCAGCGTAGCGATTTTAGTTCTGTTTACTCTGCTAACATTTCATCATTGTTCAGCTTCGTTAAGTTCCTGCGGAACATTGCTAATTGCCACAGATTGTCTTATCAGTTGTCAGATACACCATAACATTGTGTGGACAGAGCTAATAGAGTTGAAGACTCGACAATTTTGTTTTGTTTGATTGTCGACTTTTGTTGAAGTGATAACACTTTTCATCCACATGTTCCATTTGTGTTTCTATGTTTGTATGTTTGTATGTTGATTGTCATTTCTAAAAATTGACAGAATTTACTTTAATTGATTGATTTCATTTACATACCCAAACGGTGAATGGCCTAATATTTACTTTCTTATTCATAAACCGCAGTTTTGTCACTTGAATTCGGAAATATTGTGTACTTAGTTGGTCTGCTGTTTTCGTTAAACCCCATTAACGAAACGCTAACTGCACTTCTTTTTCTTATCTTAATTGTAAGAGCAGCGTGAAATATGATGACAAATAATTGAGTTAGCTATTTGAATTAATCACACAAGATTAAAAAAAACTCTAACTATACTACAACTACTTAACTCTTAAATACTTTGGTCTCAGAAAAGGTCTCAGATTAGCTTAATTGTTCATGAGTGTCATTGACAAAATTATGCTGTACTTACTCTATATAAAATAGACACAAGGTTTTTAAATGGAACAGAGCAAAGTTACCTTAACGATATTATTATATCAACAGTCCCTAACAAATAAACACATTTTGTCTGAACCAGAATGACTTTCATTATGGAGATCCTTATTACCGAGGGAGTCAGTAGTATGAGATTGTAGAATCTACTGGCAAATGCTTTTCTTTACAGTTTTAAATTAAGCTTTGTGGTAACATATTGGGTTGCCATCAGTCTGTTCTATTTTACGAGTATTAAAAACATAAACTAGTCCGATGTAATTCGCTTTGTAAATCGTAAAAAAATCGCTTTGTTGGATGTTTTTATTTGAAATCTTATGTGAAGGTGATATTACTATATCATATAATTTGTAGATGATGACGGACATCATTTCGGATAGTGAAACAAATGCGCAATCTAGATTCTGCATATATACAATATAATCTGCTGTTTATTCTACACAATCAATGAGTAGGCATGAACGGTAAGGTTCTTTTGTTTCTAGGAAATAAATTACAGGTTGACTCTTTCTGAATACCTATATCAATAATTTGTTAAATTGACTATTAGAGGAAGTATTTAGTTTTCAGCGATCATTATTTGTTTGGAACATATATATGGTCTTTAAAATATCGGTTATTACGGAATGTACTCAGTAATATATGTTGTAAATTCTGGGATCATTTAACTTCCATTTACTTTCGAATTCTTCTATTTACTTTTCTTTCTTCTATTATA